AACTATTCATAGACACAAATATTTGTGAATATAGACACAATGATTTGTGAATTCTAGAAAATGGTCTTATTCTCCAAATAATGGCTTCCTGGGATCAGTAAATAACAGTACTGTCCTGCCCAGCTGACATCTTTAAATTATTCTGTGTTCAGACATTAACATCCCTCCCACAAACTGAAGGGCCATACATATATGGCAAACGGGTACACACAGTGAAAAAAACAGACACTATGGATACAGTCCCGTTGTATTCTTCATTCTATTCCTGATGTGGGACTTATTATTTGTCCACTGGAAAACCATATTGCTTGCTATCACCTGGCTTTTCGTAGAATTCCTACCACAGATGATCAGCATTGCTGAGAAGGATTTGAAGCCAAAGTTTGCTGCGAGGACAGTGGTGTCGGGATTAAGCAGTTCTGAGAAATGAGCCATTCAGAGGAGAGCAGCAAAGCCCAGCCCATGAGCAACCCTTAATACTGCGCTGTCAGGTGCTCATCAGGCCTGGTGGCTCTTGGAGAGCAGTAATGTCTTCTGCTGGGAGAGTGGGGTGCCACTGGAGCCCATTGCATTGAAGGAATACACAGGCCAGCACAAGAGTCATTGAAGAAGCAAGTGCAAGATTTCACATGGGTTTTGTGTTCCCTATCTTGTACTGTCCAGAGGGTACGGCCAAACGCCTTCCCCAACATCCAGCCAGGGAGCAAGATTCCCACTGCCCTATACAGAGAAGAATAAAGTCTCTGTGGTGGCTGGAGCTATAGGCAATGACTGGAAATCATTTATACCTAGTTACCCAAAAGAGTTAATATTTGGATATCTAAAAGCACCTCTACCCAAAGCTCTCACCACCTCCTCTTCCTCCACACCAGAGACTGACATTTCCTCTTGGAGGTTATTCTTGCTACCAAACGCAGGCCACTGAGGAAGCAGAATCCAACTCTGTACTCAGCATGAATTTACACTTTTTTCAGGCACATATGATGCAGCTTTTTGTTAATGCACATGGCATTTGGTCTCCAGTACCACAGCCACAGCTTGCTGTGATATAAGCATGCAAGTTTAAAGAAGTATGTGCAGAATGCTAAAGGAAACAATTTAAATGTGAGGAGGAATATGTGGTAGAAGAAATTTTGACATCTATGTGGCACATGAAGGTTGTAGTATTAAGCAGGGGAGGGAATAGCCTGAAAACAGATCCATAATATTTTCCTATTGTATTTAGTCCATGGAAGATGTAGATGCAACCAGCTTTTTCTCGCATCATGGACAGAAATCCAGCTAAAAATATGCAACATGGAAAAAATGGAATTAAACAATAGATTTTGTACTCTCTAGCTGAAGAGCTTAAATAATGAATGTCCATTTTCTCTTTTAGTAGAGAAGTTCTTCTAAATAGTATGAAGAATAGTTTTAAGACAGATGCTGTTCTTCAGAGGACACTCCAGCTAGGACTCCAACGATTTTTCATTTGAACCCCCCCAAAACCCAGGAGCTGTAGTGCAACAAGACACTTCTTTCCTGCTCATTAAAGGATTGATGCACAGAGGATGCAACCTGCTCTCTCTCAGAGCAGGTTGCTGACTATGTACTTCCATAGCTCATTGGTCCACAGAGCAGGCACATAAGCTGCCCTTACAAAACGTAGGGAGAGGAGTAATCCAGGAAAACAGGTGTGACCAGGAGAGAATTGAAGGTTCTACCTTTACACAAACTACACATAGACTATCTTTAGTCTTCTATTCGCAATTCCCAACACTCTTATCACCCAGTTAATGACCTTGAAACTTGTCAGTTACAAATATAACCTGCATATAACAGCAATTAAAGAGATTGCATAGATACTTCAATTACAGCAGTTTGTTCACCCATAGTACAACAATGCAGGAAAGCATGTGTCACATTATTGTTTATTCAAGAGACAGACTTCATCTACCCAGATTACATAGCCAATAAAGAGACTGGAGGATATTCAACAAGCAAAGGGTGAAGCAAGGCTACAATGCCCTCTGAGCCTTTAAGACAGTACAGTAACACATGTCACAAGAAACACACAGCTCAGCTGGGTTATCTGGGACAGAAGGTGGCTTCCTCTAGAAGGGGAGAAACTCTGTGCTGACTTCAACATGCTCACATTCAGAAGAGCAGGCAAATGCACAGAACTAAGCATTTGCAAATGAATCGGAAGGAATGAGGTAACATAACCTAGACGCCAAGAGCACTGTTACAGTAATGCAGGTACTGGCTTGTAAAGGGCATGTAGAAAAAAACCACCTGAATGTTTGACCTAAGAGGATCTTTGGCTTAGTTGCAAAAGGACACAAGTTTAAAAAACAACCACACAATTCACAAAATGTACTAACAGTAGCTAATACATGCAAACAGTAATATTGAAGGCAGCTTGCACCTTTGTTCAAGTTAAATATGCAGGCATCAAAACCATACATGAATCATTTTATATATTGCTGCTTTAGAGACTCATTTGCGTAATTCCTTCCACACAAGAGAAAATACTTCTCTTACTGCTGGGCAACACATTCTCCCAGATACTATTTTTTCTTAAGTTTATACCTGTGTACACTCAGTAACATTACTTTAGGTAACTTTAGCATTTCTGCTTTACATGGCCATAAATGACAATGTTGTACACTGGCATTTTTAAACAAGCATGGCAACTCTGTCAGGGTTTGTTTTGTTTTCTTTGCTGTCTCACCTCACAGGAACACCACACAAAGTGATGCAGAACACAGTATAGCTTCACACTTCTGAGGCGTAGACTGACCATCACCATTGCCCTTAAAATGCCGAGAGCAAAATCTCATAGCACTGTTGTCTTTACCTGCACTGCTGGCATTTATTGCCCACTGTTCCAAGATATCCCAGAACAAACATGGAGGAGCAGTTATAATCTTCCTAATAAGAGTTGATTGCAAAACAGCCTCACAGCCTTTCCCCTAAGTTTACCAGGCTATCAGGGCAGCCAGGCATCATGATGTAAGTAGATGCTCCGTGCTGCTTTGAAGTTGCTGTAGTTAAATAGGGAACACAAAGTGAACGACAAACCCAGAAGTGGAGAAAGGCCAATATACCATGTGGTTAATCCTCCTGAGTCAACAACAAGCTGCTTCCTTGGTCTCAAGACTCCGTTATCTGATGTAATTGGTTTTAATAACACAGAATGCAAAATAACAGAGGGGAGTGTTTGGCTCAGTACAAGAAGCGATGTAGAAGCATGGTAAGATCCATAAGGATCCAGTAAAGATCAATAGAAAGATATTACCAGTACCCTTACTCATATCAGTGGCTCCCTACAGCAAGTCACAACAGTGGCCTGTCACTGGTTTGAGTCTAAGGAGACCTGTATAATCATTGGGATAAAACGTGCAGAGAAAACATTGTAAGAAGTGACAAACTTCTGCCTCAAAATCTCATTTGTACTATAATACTTGAAACACCTGTTTTCATTACAACAAAGACGAAGCTCAATGAGAGCAGGGTTACACTTTGAAGACACCTCTCAAAAGCAGGGTCTCCACAGGCGACTTGTTTCAATTCAAATGATCATATTTTAATCAGGCAGCTTTACAGTCCAAACTTGCTTTAACACTGGCTTTCATCACCTGTTGCTTTGAGGCATTTTAGCCTTTTCTAATCATCTGTTCAAAATGCATTTTATTCTTAGGATATAACACTTGATTTTGTCAAATAAATATACAGCCTACTTAGCTATTTTCTGGAAAGTAACCCCTCTTTTTTTAAAATCAACATTGGTAGTCTTCAAGGGAGGGAAGAATCCACCAGTAACACCAAAACTGGAATATTTCCTCCCTAATTCTGTGGCCTTGCCTGCCTTACCCAGTGGCCAGCTCTTTGTCAGACATACAGACACCACCAGGAGCTGAACATTTAATTCATCAATGAATTGACATTTAGAACAGGAGATGAAAACTCAGAATCCACTTCCTACACAGTGAGAAGGGGAGGCATGGAGGAGGAGAACCACAGAGGCAAACCTCTCGTTTTCTGCTCTCCCTCTTTTTTATATGTAAAAATTATATATTGAAATATATATTAAGTGTGTATGTATGCACATCCACATACACATACAGAGACAGAGCGCACATATTGCCCTCTACTGACCAGAGTCCAATACACAAGAGTCCTCCAACACCCACTGCTCATCATACATGTTCTCCAACGAATGCTTGACAGGACTATACCAGCGTGTTACTTGCTGGTACAGTAAGAGGCAACTCCTTCAATTCAGCAATCACCAAGACTTTTTCAGAACCCAATTTTAAGGCCTGGGGTTTCTCTGCTTTCATTCCTCCTACCTGGTGATACACATAGCAGTGGGGAGTGGGGGAGGAAATCAAACCAACCACATATGCCAGTGGCTTATGGGTTAGCCTACATATACCTACACACCAGCACCCAAATCTCTTGCTGTTTTATGCTACATTCTTTCCACCCCGCGCAGTCAGGAATTTTAATGAAATACCAGGGAGATGGGAGGGGGCAGAAGAGGGGGAAGGCAAGCAGGAAAACAGAGCCAAGAGGCACTGACTGCTACTTTCAGGCCACCTTGTTTGCAATTCCTTCCCTCTGCTTTTTTCATGATTACTGTCAATATCAATAAAGGATGAGAAACCCTAATTCTTACCATCTCCCCTCCTCCACCCCTACACTAAAACTTTTTTTTTTTAAAGTGTCCACTCCTATGATGGGGGGGAAAAACACTTCAGACCAAAGTTCAGACACACACTTTAGATTGGAAAAAATATAGAGTATTTTTTAATTTAGGAAGCAGTTCAGTAAGTTCAACTGTAAGCTTCCTAGAGGATCTACATGTTATATGAAGAGTCTGTTGACCACCTTTCTGACAGTGACTGGCCATAATGTACTATTCCTAAGTACCTACAGATGGACATAAAAGTAGTAGATTGGAGTTCTTGAAGTGGGGAGAGAAGGAAGATTTCTGGTATTGTTTCCATACTCACCCAAGGCCCAGTATGATGCAGCTTCCAAAGGTGGAGCACTGCTGTAGAGAGCATGGATATACATGAGGTGAATCATCAGCTCAGCCAGGCACCACCAAAAAAAAATACGAATTATGCCCACGATTAAGATGCCAAGATTGGTCTTCAAACTGAAGGCTTCTTGTCTCCTCATCTAAAGAGGAAATCCAAAGAGATTATATGGCACATAACTGACTGTTTTACTCAAATACTTATCCTGAGAACTTTAAGTTTCATTTGCTATTCATTACTATTACTAAGGGGATCATTTGACTACACCATTTGGAAAATCCTGACATACTCTTTTTAGGGAGACTGGTTTCTCCATTCTCAATCTCAGTAAGCAGTAGTAATCAGCAAGAGGCCAAACATGAAAGTACACTGCACCAAGCTGTTGTAGAAAAGGCCAAGTGCTGTTAAGGTTAACAGAATCCAGACATGACACACTCATTTTTTAATTCCTGTAACTTGATCAACCTCTAGAGATAATCAAAAAAGGTTAAAAAAACTCCAGCTATGAAGGAGGTTTTCCAAGCAGCAGCCCTACCAAACACAGAAACAATGACTGCTTGCTCTTAAAATACCTCCAACTTCTACCAGCTGCATGGAATTGATTACTTGAGGACAGTTCTTAATTTTTCTCCTGTAGCATTGACAATGTCAGCAAGACCTATGTGATGTACTGAGCAAATGGCAGTTAAGTGCAAATTAAATATCAGATAAGACAAGGTTTGCAGCTGACAGGCTTCAAGATGCCCTAAACTCTTATGCTGCTAACTATAGTAAACATATTGGTATACTATTATTTTTACTTTCTTTCTGCAGTAAAAGAGAATATGATCAAATAACAGAAACATCGGATTGCCTAAAAATGTAGTCGTTTTATACATCCATCATTGTGTGTGTGCAACATTTCCTTCTCCAATCTCTAATTGGCCACCAAAAATGCACATACAAGATAAGTAACCAACCCACCCGCATGGACAAAACCCCCTCATAATTGCAAGCACACAGTACAGCTAACATGCAGTTAGCTCTGCTCACTTACAAATGAAGCAGCACAATCATTTTGAAGGTTCATTTGTACCTGTTAGATGAAAGCTTGCAGACTACCATTTAATTGCAGCAATTGGCACAACAGGCCTTCAAACCCATGGCTAGAACTGCTATGCCCTGCTTCAACCCAGAAATTCAACAAGACCATTGATGAAGCGTCACAGTCTCATTTTTGCCAGGCAGTGGATGCCAATCGCCAGCATTGGTATTACACTCTTCGGGCCATACAGCAGTTTCTCTGTCTCCATCTGCAGGACTTCTGCTTTCCAGCATGCTCAGGATGAGCCCTTGTCTCACTCAGTCTCAGCTTCAGTTAATCATCACAGAATCATAGAATCATTAAGGTTGGAAAAGACCTCTAAGATCATCGAGTTCAACCGTCAACCCAACACTACCATGCCCGCTAAACCATGTCCCTAAGCGCCTCATCTACACGTCTTTTAAATACCTCCAGGGATGGTGACTCCCTGAGCAGCCTGTTCCAAGCCTAACCACTCTTTCAGTAAAGAAATTTTTCCTAATGTCCAAAATGTTAAGGGGTTCTGCAGGTGGTCTTTTCTGATAGCAGCAATAAACACACACTTCGTATTGTGCACTTTGAACCATTTGCTGGGTACTGCTAACTTCGAAACCCTTCTCCAACCTCATCTGTCAAGGCAATATCCTCTGCTCAGGTAAAAGCTCTGACAATGCACTTCAGCAAACACCAACAAGAAACACAATGTTGTTCAGTTTGTTCCGTCTTCATTATGGCTTTAACCAAACAGGTCTGTGTATGTTTAAATGAGAAACTACTGCAAATACAGGCATTCCATTCTCAATCTTCCTTTCTCCCCTCACACCACGAATACAGGTGGTCTTTGCACAGGTCTTTGCTGAGCCATACCAGGTGAGTTCAGTTTCTATTTTTCCTACCAGCTATCCTCAAGTTACTCTCAACTTGGAGTCTTACATGTCTTCTGAAGCATTCCTTGGGAAAAAACAAAAATCATCTCCCTCTGCTAAGGGTACAGGAATATAGGTGGAATTTAACATATTTCAGAAGCTACAAAACAATAAACAGTAAAAAAAGTTACCTCAACTTCTATGCAAGTCTATGCGGACTTTTCCTACAACATCCAGCCCAGGATAACAACATTCAGCCTTGCATCTTCCAAAGCTACTGAAGACAAATGAGCATAGGACTTGTCACTCAGGGGTCCACCAGAATCTGTTTTCACTTTCATAAAGCCCTGTCTATTTGCTGTGGCTTCAACAGAAAACTTCCAGATTTAAACAGGAGCAAGCAACGCCTAGGCTTCTATACATGAACTGCAAGAGCAGTTTTCTGGTTTGAAATGTCCACTCATCCACTTTATTCTAATGATGTTAGCTATAGACATCACGGGTGGCAATTTCACTTCTTATTCAAATGTGTAAGAAAATAAGTAAAGCAATAAGCATGGATATCTGGGGTTTTCCCCTGTCATGTAGAAGCAGGCTTGAAAAGCAGCCTGCAAGGCATTAGAAAAAACATGCAGTAAGATAGGCAAGTCTTTCACATTCAAGGAGCTGCTCAGCTTGTTAAAGTCTGAAGAAAAGTGTTCCAAGTAAATCACCAGCTGTTTTCACACCAACGTGAGGGGAAACTGGGATCTTCAGGAATTCCCAATACAAAGCAGCAGCTTTCCGTGACTCTGAAATATGTTTCAGAGTTAATAGCCAGCTGCTGCTGAAAATGTTACTTCATTCCACCTGATGGAGGAAAGGAAAACAAAAATCCCATCCAGCAGCTACATACTAAAATTATGAACACTCTCCAAACATAACATCATCAGCTCCCTGGTTGAAGGGATGAATCTGATGTCAGACAAAAAAAAACATCCTGTAAAGTAGAAGAACTTGCGGGGGGAAGGTTTGTCTTAAAGTTGATATCCAGGACATCATCAAATTCCCAATGCTTTGCTCAAAATTGTCCAGTCTTCACATTCTAACAACATTATTTGGTATTTTCAAAATTATGTGGAAGATACCTTTAGACACCCAAACAATTCTCAATCTCCAAGGACTAAGTGAAAATTTAAATCCTTCAAATCACTAGTAAGGCAGAAAAATAATATAGAATCAGTTATAGATGCTTTTACTGAAGTCAAAACATGCATGAACAAAAACTCCTTTTCTGTAGTTTTTTTTTTTTTCCAAAGTATCTCATTGAAGGAAAAAATATTTATTTCAGAAGGAAATAGAGATCAGAGTCTGATAGAGAAGATGAATCATCCAGCCTTCAAAAACTATTTGGCTTTCTTTCCAACTTCTCTAACACTGGAGTCTAATCAACCTCTCTCCATCCAAGCACTAGATATAAAGACTTATTTTGACTAAATATATTCTCAATGTTAGTTACCAGCCTTATGAGAGTTCAGTATTATGCCATGGCTGGTATACAAGCATGAATACCCAAGACTGGTTTCTAACTACAGCCTTCCCTTTTGCATGCAGCATACTTCAACACTTACAGAGAAAAGGACGATAGATACAGACTAACATTAGGAACACCTTCTGTTTGAAAGTCTCATCAGGATCAATTTTTGTCAAGTATGTAACTAGAAAATAAATAGAAACTAAGGCTTCCCTGTAAACTATCTTATAAAACACACCATTAAAACAGCATCTCAAGGAAAACTGGATGAAATTGTCTACCTAACATTTTCTCATGATTGGTATTAAAATCTCTCAAGATGAGGTTAAAAAAAAAAAAATCAATCTATCATGCTTTAATTAATTCCTCAAAGTACAGGTTCTGTGTCTAGATTTGGCAGATGAAAAGAGATCACCATCCACTTCAATAGCTCTTCACTTAATTCACCTGAGGCACAAATGCACTGAAAATCTTAGCTGCATGATCTTAAAAACACTGTTACCTGCTTACTGAATTCATCAAAGTTCATAAGGGGCCCGTTGTGGAATGTGGGATAGTAAAACACGTATGCCAGCATCCACAGGAATGAGTGGGATGACTTCTGGGCAGGACCATGCCAGCAGTACTCCAGGCTGAAGCTAGTGCAGAAGAGGCAGCGGACAGACACAGTGAAGAGCAGCAGATAATACTCATTTTCAGTGTCGTACCACTTTCTCTGCAAGACAAAAAAAAGCCAGATCACAATGGTGCAATGCTGTGTTTTCTATATGGTGGGACAGCGATATCCACCCAGATCCTAACTTTCAGGGTCACCAGCAGCAGAAAGCAACTAAAGCAAACAACAGCCGGAATGAGCATCTGAAGTGAACAGCACTACTTAATGCATGAGCAACAAGCACTGGCTGTTGATGGAGAGAGGGCCTCCAGAGCTACTGCAAGCAGCATAAAGAGACAACAGCATGATTTCAGAAACATATTACATTGTGAAGAACTATGACAGCTTTTCTTACAGGAAGGCCATGATCTGTCTCAGGTTTGGTCTAATAATACAATATCCAAACCAGATGGCAACCCTACTGACAGCTGAGGAACTGCTAGGGCTGAAGCCAAAGCTCCAGTTCAGATCTGAAGAGAATCAGTCAGTCCTGAGAAAGCCTGAGGCTGGAAAGATGCTACTGAGCCTTTATCAAGTTTTTGACACTCCCTGTCACACCCATTTCCAACAACAAAAACACATCATCACAAAAAACTTGGAAACATCAGCAAACTGGCTGATTACATTTGTATTGCAGTGGGCCCTTTCCTCCTCTCAGTGAGACACAAATCTGTCTACACCACATGAAGAGACCCTGCCCGCTCATCTCCCCTCTGCCCTTCCCCTGAACATCAGGACAACAATCCTTGTAAAACATGCCCAGTTTTTCCCCGTAGTCCAAGTGCGTGCAACAAGGACATTTCCTCACAACTGAGAAGCAGTTTCTCTAAAATCTGTACTGGTCAGCAAAAGCCATTAGAGAAAAAGCAAAACTGAGCTTGCACCAACCAGTTGAGAGCAAGCAACTCATTTGGTACGAATCAAAGTGTTGGAGAAACAGTCTCCCTTTCCATGCAGAAGCCTGCAGTCACCAAAAAGGTACTGTTAGGCTTGACTAAGCAACTCCTGGATATGCATGCAAAAACCAGCACCATACCTTAAATTGGTATGATCGCAGCTCCAAAGAACAAGAAATGTGTTTACTAGAGCACTAGTAAAGTATTATCATACTCCAGCTCTACTGAACACCACTTATACATTAAGGCACATACTTTCATCTCAGTGCACCGGCCAGCATGATTGAGAATTATGACTTTTCTAACTGGAGAAGCTCCAGCATGAGTCACTGAAGCTCTACTGCCCAAGGTTTTTCAAGGCAACCTCTGCTTACATCAACTGAAGGGACAGTACTGTCAAAAAGATAGCTGCCATAGTGACAAATGCCACCATAATTAATCTGATGCTTAATTAGTCCTTCTCACATTACCTTGGCTTCTTCCACAGCTGGTATGCGTAAAGTGGATAGCAGGATAAGGGAGCACAACCATGTCAAGAGCGACAGCTGAAACTGAGCCACAGCAAACGAAATAGTTGCATGTAACAAAATGACAGCAAAGCCCTTGATTCCCAGTAACAACCAGCAGGCAGCCATTCCATAAACCATCAAGCACCATGGTTTATACTGTTAGAAAAAGAAAAATTAACAAATTTTAGTTTGATTTATTTCTAAAGCAAAAAAAAGCACTCAATATCTATATTGTCCTACACAGGGTCTATAGTAGAAAAAAAACCACAGTCAACAAGGTTAAGAACACATACGAAATATACAGGGAAACCCAACCGTATCCATAAAGATGGAAGGGAAGGGGTTTCTGTAGCAGTGTGTGTGAAATCCAGAGCCTCCCTGATCTGGGGGAGAAAATAACTTCCTCCTTTTCTTCCCCAGACTAGCAGGTGTGACACCACATGCCAGTCATTTCCCATGCAATCATTTAGCAATCATGCCAAAACCCAAGCAGTCATCACTTCAGTCTTGGAAGGGAGTAACTACACCCTTCTTTTGTGTACAGGTCAAATGACACTGGCTAACAGTTCACAATGAAGCACAGGCTTTTCAAGAGTTAGAGGTTGAAGTCTCCAAACACAGACCTAAGGCAACCTACCTACTCACTCTCACCTGTGCATGGTTACAGACACACTCACACAATTCACCCCACAGAATGGGATTTCCCACACTCAGTAGCCTCAGTGCCAAGTTTCCTATGCCCAGAGTAAACTGAAACCCACAGAAACTCTCTGCTGTGAAGAAAATATATACATACCTTCTCCACCAAGAGCCTGGACACTTGTGATACCAGCAGGTGACCAGCCAGAAGCCACAGTATACGTTCCCTTCCCCATTCAATCCAGTAGCTCCACTCAAAGTCCATGGGGTCCTGGGGCATCAAGGGAACTGGTCAGTATACATATCTGGCCATAAAAGAATGTTCTTACAGGACAAGGAAACGTCTCCATAACACACTAGCTCTGTTACCCACCACCACAGAAACTCAACATCTGGGGAATATCTTGTTTCAGCAATGCAGTCCGACCACTTACAGCAGTGAGCTCCAACAGCTCCATTTTGACTTCCAATGGTGTGAAATTCAGAAAAAGTTATAGATGGTGTCTGACTCCTAGGCCCCACATTAGCACTGAACTTAACTGAGCAGCGATCACTGCCTTTCCCCAAGAACACCATGGGAGTTCTCTAACTACAAAGCAGGCAGGGAGGCACCCACACATGCACACACCTCCTCCCTGGGACACAGGGAACAGGCTGGTGACTACCCAGAGATGCGGCCTCGAACAAGGGTCCCACTTCTCAGGGCTTCCCAGTGCAACACGTCCTTGCTTTGGTTCCCCATCGGGAAGCTTCTTAGGAAACAACAAATTAGTCTGCTACTACTGTTCCTGACCATCTTTTCAAATCCAACAAATTCACACCTCTGCTTGCCCTGATCCTTTTAATTTTAGGAATTTTTTTCCTTTAGAAAGAAAAAAACAAAACAGTATTGGACTATCCTTAACTCATGCAAATTTTAGCCAGGAATTTTTCTTTTTCCAACTTCTGTCAGCCTTTTGAGAAAGAGCTTTTAAGAAAGGCAACATAGAAGCAGAGCACTGCCTTCCCTGCGCATGCCCCTCACCTCTCTTGAGAGATTCAGAGAGCAACTCTGCTCTGCCTTGGAAAACTGAGAGCTTGGGTGAAAAGGCACCTTGCTGGAAGAGAAATTTCACTCCCTGTTTCAACAAAGCCTAGGTGGGAACAGATGAAGTCAGGTCAGCTGAGATTCCTGTGACATAGGGTTTTTACCTAAATCAGGTAAGAGGGATCAGCTGGTAGCCCCACGTCCCATACAGAGCCCCCCTAGAAGTTCATCTCCACAACTGCTTTATGGCTTTTTCAAAAGCATATGTCAAGGGTCCCTTACCAGAAGTGATAGTGGGCCTAAACACCAAAATAGTTCCACAGACGTGCATTCCTGGTCTTGTGTAAATCACCCTATTAGTTGCATTACTGCATGCATTAGTTGCATTTCTTCAAAAGGATGTGAGGTCAAAAGCAAGCGGTGGGACGGTTGGTTGGTTTTTTTTGTTTGGGTAGAGGTGTGCTAGTTTTCTTATCAGTTTCTTTTAAGAACAACCATGTTTCTTTAAGCCCTTATGCCTCAAAAATCTGTTCTCCTCTATGCTGGACTACAGGCCAACCAAGAGGGAAACGCGTGTTCACTGATGTTAAGCATTATCCAAACCATCCAGTGACAGGAAAAAAGGCTGCAGGAAATGTCAAGGGTGATCATAGCTTTTAAGGCCAAACAGTAAAACAGAAGGCTGTTAAGTGATGTAACAAAGGAGAAACGCTTAGGCCAGGGATCAAGATGAGAAACAAAACTTTGGTTATGATTCTTAGATCTAGACACACTTGGCAAGTCCCTCTTCCTCACTAGAAACAATAAGACTAAAATTAACTATGAATACCCAAATCTGCAAAGTTAGTACAAACCTCCGAAGCTAAATCAGAAGCTCGGGTGAGCAAAGGGCAGGGAGACATGATGTTAGTGTTATTGCCACAAAATAAAACATGCTGGTACTGGTCACCCATCCTACCTTTCTGAGGCCTTGAAAGAGAGTCCCTGGTTCCAGCCCAAACCTTCTGTCCATCACAGCTTCATACTCTGCAGAAAAGAACAAACCTTTGCTAAGGACACAGCAGCTAGAGCAGGGAGAGTCGGGGACATGGCCTCTGCTGCTAAAGAGCAACACGATCCCACGTTGCCTCCGCCGATGGGGGTACTCGGAGCCAGGGAAGGGCATGTCACCATGTCACCGCTCGCCAGGCAAGCTGCCTGACCAGGCCACGGCTCGGCCCCGCAGCAAAGGCAAAGCCACTGAATTGCCCAGAACCTATGCTTTGATTCCCCCTTGCAACAGGGGCAGTAGCAGACAGCAACCAAACTTTTATCACACAGGGCCTGCACTAATCCTCATTTCCTTTCTTTCAGGGTTCCTGGTTTCTCCCACTGGAGCAGAAGGGACACACAGACCTGACAGTGACCAGTACAGCCACACCAGGGCAAAGCCACTCAGAGAAGCCACCTCCAGAGCCCGTCCCCATGCAGCCTTTTGTCGTCTCTGCAGAAGACATGCTGTACACATGTGTGCACAGCCCTGTACCCATTTACTCAGCACTTTTCTCACTGCCCTAAAAGTGTCTTTGTGGCACTCCTGTTCTTCTTTTGAGAGCCAGCTAGGGTCATTAATGTAGAACACCTTGCTGATTAAAGCCTAACAAGATGCAATACACATTTCCCTAACTAGCTATACTTTTATTAGATAATACCACCTTCACTACCTTAAAATACCGTTGTGCTAGAAAACAGCTTCTTTTCATCTACAAATTGTACTTAAATTGTTTAAAACACCACCCCACACACTCTACACAGCCCCACTAAACTAAAACCAAGCCACCACAGCAGCTACCAAGAGGTTACACAAGGCACAGGCGGGTGTTTGGAAACAAACAGACCCCAAAGCTGTACAGGCAACACAGCCATTGCTCTGAGCCCACAACCCAGCACCAGAGCCCCAGAGCTCCAGGCAGGGCAGCACCCATCTGCCCTGGAGCCTCCCCAGGTTCAGTCCCCAGCAAGCACCCCCATCAGAAGGCACGGCTGCTTCTGAACCACCCACCTCCAAGGGGCTGCAGGTGACTAGCCAGGGAGAACCCCAATTCAGACCTGACTTTCCTAAACTTCCCTCACCTGAGTAGCTGAACTTCACAGGTCTCCCTTACCTCTTCCCTGACAGCTGAGTGCCAGGACACCATTGCCAAGGGCCTTCCCAGCACTCAAGGCAAAAAAGCCTTTGGACAAAGCTCTCTGCCCAGCTGGCACCTGACTACTGCTTCCTCGCACAGGGCTGATTTGCAGCCAGGAAGAGCGCAGGCGCTCCTTGCAGAGGAGCA